GAACAATTAAAATAACCCTAAACCCTAAAACATTCAAACAAAAAAAAAAAATCAAAAGGATAGGAGACAAACCCTAATGTAAATATATTGAATAGCCAAGAATTCCCAATAGACGTCGAGAAAAGAATATAAACCCTAATACTTAACGGCGGTTGATTGTGAGCGTCGTTGCGTAATTGTAAAATTTTTATAAATGGGGGGCGTTTATATAGTGGCGAATAGGCATATTCTAAATGACTAATATACCCCGCGTGGAGTGCGCATCGAGAATATAATTATTTGTTTGGAAACAGAATATTCTTTTCCATCTAAACCGTAGGAAATATCTTTATGCATTATTTTACCATTAATAATTATTGATTTTCTGAATACTAAATAATCATAAAAATATATTGTTTTATTTACACATATCGACAAATTTGAAGTTTATTTATTGAGTTTGGAAAAAAAAATTGTGACATTGCTTTATTCTTAATTTTCTAGTAGCTCAATGGATGAAATTTATTTCACTAGATACTCGTTGGAATTTAAAGTATTCCTTATGTACATTTTTCACATATTCGCCTTTAACATGGTCCTTATTTAAGGATTAAATTAATTGTACACACAAAGTGTACACTTTGATGACACTCACCTGTGTGTCAAATATTTGACAGTTGATTGAAAATTCTGCTGTCATGATCAATATACTAAAATCTGTCAATTCGCATGCGTGTAAACTAATGTGTCGATCTTTATATACATGTAGCATAATCCTTCCTATATACATTACAACAAAAACACTAGTAATATCGGCAAAATCATTTTATTGATCGATATTTTATTTTTTGTTCTTGTTTGGTTTCATAAGAAATTATTGAAATTATAACATAAAAAAATGAGGTTATATAAAAATGGATGGTAGCCTGAATTCTATGAAATATGTGGTTAAATGTTAAAATTTGATTTTGACCTTTAAATATTATAATAAAAAGCAAAAAGCAATTAGTGAAGCAGTTAGTAAAAAACCTTATGGTGCAACTACTTGAAAAATTCAAGAATATTCTAATGCAGGAAACCAATGTCCAAAGGCTGAAAACTGAGGGTGTGCAGTGCTAAGTGGGGTTCGGCTTGCATCATACATGAGCAAAACATCAAAAAAACTCGTGAGAGATGCTCGTCTGCTCGCACGAGTTGGCTCACCATCTCCACTCATCTAACTGCATTCTTCCAGCCTTGCAGACTACGAGTGATGGCTCCGTGCATCAGTAAGGTGCCACCAAATCCAGCAATCATTTGCCTGTCTGAATTCAAATTTTATAATTTGAATTTTTTTGTTAAATTCGGGGTCAACAAATAGGGATGAGAGGTAAACCAACTTCACAACGTTTCAGAATTCTCTACAATCTCACTAATAAACCACTCTCATCTCTTTAGCAATATAAAATTTTGCAATTATTATACAATTGTCATCTGTTTATTTTCCAATTATTTCTATTAGTTTTAGTTTGTAATCCAAATTTTTCTTCAAAATTCGTTATGAATTATACTGGATTAATGAACCATAATGAGGATATTACGTAATTCTTCGATAGTTTCAATTCTCATCTGCAGTTTTTCTCAAGCATGTGATGTTCCAAATTCGGAAATGTCGACACTACCAAATCGACAACCATTCAGGAATTATGCTAGCACTTCAAATAATAATGGTTCGAGACAATAAATCTTCAAAAAATGAGGAGTGTCTATTGGTGAAATATTCCTTGGCCACTCCATTTTGTTTTATTCCACTGTACACTGCTTTTAGTTGTTCATGCTCGTCTGGCTCCCTTTGGTTGGTCCCCAATGCACTGGGTAGTGATCTAAAGGCTTGGCCGATCTGACTGTCTTCATTATTCCTCCTAGGTATCTGGTGTGATAACTTAGGAGCTAGTGCTCTTGCAGCAAATCCGGTTTAGCATGCACGAACCAAG